TAAGGAGTTGCTAAAAGTGGGAATTTTAGTAGTGTTATATAAAAGGAAGAAAGCAAGAACTGAGAGATAGGGAGAAATGTCATCAACTGTATTTACATATAAAGTCTAAGATTGGAAGATGCATTGCTTACTTGAAGCAGAAAAGAGAAGAAGATCCATACAAGAATATTGTACCTCGGCTAATGCACCAAGCCACACATGGTTCCAACTCTCAAGCTCCTTCCTTTGACCTTTAATCAATCTTGTTATTGAGTGGTGTTGAATCCCCTGGGAGTAACTTAACAAGTACTCGCATAACTTGACACTGATTAAAACTTTAATATGCATCATTTTTTTGTTTGTAATACGCATAATTTCTTCTAGAAATTATATGATACAGCTATAAAAATAATTATATTTAAACTCTAAAAAAAGGTCATTAGTAAATTTCAGTCTTTTTGGTCTAGCTATAGCCTTTCTATATTTGAGTTTGTAAAAGTATTAAATCAAAAATTTATGACACTGCATGTCACCTCAAATCTAAGGTAACTTATGGCAATTGAGGACTAAATTACTTTTAGGCATCGCTAAGATTCGATCCGAGGTTGTTTAGACTGACTTGAGATAGTTTTTCATAAATTATAAATAACAATTTGAAGGATTTTTTCAATTTGTGCCATTAACATGTAGTTATACATCCTTCTGATGTTAATTTGTATTGAAAATAATAAAAAAAAAGTCAAATAGATTATTTTAATTAGTCAAGTGATTAAATAAAGATCAACTCTGATTTTTTAAAGCCAATTAATATTAAAAAATTTGTCCTTAAACATGTGCCCTACAAGTTTTTTTTTTTTTAAAAAAAAGATAATTTGAAATCTATGTGTAAAAGTGGAGGTATGAAATGTAAACAATGATATACTTATATTTGATCCAATTTAAAATAAATAATGTATTGGCTAAGGTCTTGTTGGTAGAGATTATAGTATGTCATGTATATACATGGTTGTGTTATTGTTAGGGCAAGGTCATATGGTAAAATTAAGGTCATTATGAACTACACTAGCTATAATGCCTATTATTCTCTTAACGCAAATAGATGTGTTCATTTGTCATATTTCAATGAACATAGTTGCAATTATACCGACTTGTTGAGTAAGATTTGATTTTTTAGAGAGATTAAAGGAGTAATTTTTAACGAATTTTTTAGTTTCGATATAGATGACATGTCTTTAATTGTATTAAAAAGAAATTAATCTTATTATATGTGAAAACTAACCTGAAGATATCCAACTGTTTAAAAAAAAAAAAAAGCCTTCATCAGTTGATGGGGCAAATTGAAGTCCATATTTATTTTTCTTTTCTC